CTAATTCCCCTCCATGGCATGGCTGGCGCAGGAAGGGGGTTCGAAGGGGGCAGTGTCGGTTTGCAAAGCCCCTCTTCATGGAAGCCAGGAGGAAGGCGCAAAACGAGAGCGGTGGTGGGGGAGGTCTCGCCCAGCATTGCAAGCGCGGAGGCAAAACCTCGCCGGGAGGGGAGGGGAGGGGAGGGGGGGCAATGCTCCCTCTAAGCTGTGGAGTCTTGTGAACAAAAATCCTACTTTGTGAGCTGCTGGTATTAAAGTTGAGAGTGAGCGATTTGGCTGCTGCATCAATTAGTTTGCTCTGGAGTCATCCGGAGGCTAAAAAACTGTTGAGCTAGCTCAGACTTACTCAGCTTAGAGGGAACACTGGAGAGGCGCTGCGCTCGTCCGGGGGCGTGCAAAGGGCTTGGGCTGGAGGGGACTGTCTGGTGCCTCCCATCATTTCCTCGCCCCCACCCTGGCCGCCCACTCACCAGAGCTCCCCCCGACGGGCCCCCTGGCCCCCGGGAGGAGGCGCGCTGGAAAGCGGAACCTGCGGGGCACGGGGAGGAGTTTGCATAGAGCTCTGGCCTCGTCGGCTCCTCCTGCCAGCCTGTGGGTGCCGGGGTGGCTGGGCGGGGAAGGGAGCCTCACGCCTCAGCCTGCTGGGCTCTTCCAAGCGAGTCCCGGCCGCTCCCCGCCTCTTCGGGCCATGCCACCGGGCTGAGGGAAGGAGGGAGGGGAGGGAGGAGGGAGAAGCGCCCCCCGGGGGAGGCTGAGCCCCTTCCTGAAAGGTTCGGGAGGGTCTGACGCTCCTCAGCCCCCCTGCAGATTACGCGCCTGCTCCTGACTGTCAGACACCTGTCAAATAGATTGGCATGATCACACATACTGAAGCTTATGACATTCAACAGAGGGTGGGATACGAATTAAATAAGTAAATAAATAAAATATTTTTTGGTAAATATCTGGAAAAATATTTAGTGTAGGAGCCAATCTAATCTTCCTGGAAAGGGGTTCCAGTGGCGGGGAGCCATCCCAAAGAAGGCCTTCCTTTGCATTTTCTCGATGGAAATGTGATAGCTGGTTTTACGGAACGGAGACGTTCACATGGGAGAAAGTTACAGAAGAAATATGGAGTTGTTGCGCTCCTTAGGACCCTGAATGGAAAAACACAGAACTCAAACTTGGTCAGTGTGGCGGGAAAATAAGCAAGCCGGGGGGCATTTCTGCATAACAGCCTGGATTGGCTGAGGTCTCTCTGGTTCCTCTCCCATAAGGCTTTGCAGGCTTAGCTATTGTCATCTCTCAGGCCTCTCTCTAGCCTGACGATGCACTCTGCTCTAAAAAAGCATCATTTACATTTCTCTAGGTTTTATCATTTCACCCACATACGGTGTGAAATGTCAGGCTGGGGATAATCTCTTCTCACCTACAGGCAGCAGAAAGACACAGGTGGAATATTCTGGGATTTACCACTTTTATGGTAGATTGGAAGCATTCTCCCTGCAGCAGGATCAGGTAAAGAAGGAAGCTTTGGGGGTGGCCCAGGTGCCTCTGTCCCCTGCAGTCCTCCTAGAGCAGAGGTTCCCAAACTTATTTGGCCTAACGCCCCCTTTTCAGAAAAAAAAAAATTACTCTGTGCCCCCCTGGAAATCTACCTTCAAGAAGTAGACAAAAAGGGTGACCAGAACAAAGCTCACAGGAAGAAAAAAAAAAACACGGTCATAAATGCTCACAGGAAAAAAGCCCACATGGAAAGAAGCCCGCATGGGAAAAAAGCCCATACACATGACAGCCCACACGGAAAAAAGCCCACATGGAAAGAAGCCCACCTGGGAAAATAGCATGTAAAGCACCATAGATATTTATAATGGTGGATAACCATTCATTGGAGAGCCAGTTTGGTGTAGTGGTTAAGTGTGCGGACTCTAATCTCAGAGAGCCGGGTTTGATTCCCCACTCCTCCACTTGCAGCTGCTGATGTGACCTTGGGTCAGTCACAAGCTCTGGCACAGCTGTCCTTGAAAAAGAGCAGTTTGTGTCAGAGCTCTCTCAGCCCCACCCACCTCACAGGGGAGGGGGAGGGAAAGGAGTTTGTAAGCCACTCTGAGACTCCAAGTGAAGGGCGGGGTATAAATCCAATCCTTCATCTCTACTTATGAGAATGAACAGGTATTACCTTTCTTATATATATAATTCTCTTGACATATTGGCCATTTCCAGCTCTCGCATTGGCTGTGCATTGAGTCCACCATGATCGACGTGTAGAGTCCACCACGATCCACGGAGCCAGGCAGGCCAAGGCAGGCACAGAGCAGCAGCAGCAGCTGAAGGCCTGAAGCCAGAGGCCAGCAGCAGCCACCACACAATAGCCCAGCGGCAACACCAGACTTACAAGGGTGATTGGCTGTGGGGACCCCTCTCCACCTCCCTCCCTGATCCCAGGGAAGACCAGGAGAAGGCAGGAAAAGGCTGCTTTAGATAGGTTCTGGATTCTTCTTTCTTTATGCTTCCACCGCCCCCATAGTTTTAATTCAACGCCCTCCCAATTGCACCCAAGGCTCCTACTGCCCACCTGGATAATTCCAGCGTCCCCCAGGGGGCGGTATGGCCCACTTTGGGAACCAGTGTCCTAGAGTGATCCTATCCCAAGTACTCCCTAGGAAGCGTTTGAACACCCTTATGGGAGAATTCCCAGCCAATCCACCTTCACTACTATTTAGATGATTATGTTATTTGTGAGAAGAAAACATCTCATTTGTTCGGGATCCGTTGACTTTTTTCTGGACGTAGCTGTGTACTTCTCAAAGGAGGAGTGGGCTTTTTTGAATCTGGGTCAAAGGAAGTCATGGCAGAGCACTGTGGGAAGCTGGACTCTGGATATGGGTCTTTCATGGCTTGACAGGCAAGAGATTGTATTTTCTGGTTTACTTACTTCACTTATACTCTGTCTTTCTCCCCAATGGAGACCAAAAGTGGCTTACACCGTTCTCCTCTCCTCCGTTTTAACCTCACAACACCCCCGTGTGGCAAGTTAGGCTGAGAGTTTGTGACTGACCTAAGGTCACCCAGCAGGCTTCCATGGTATCGCGGGGATTTGAACCAGGGTCTTTCAGTGCCTTGTCAGACAGCCGGACCGCTATGCTATGTTGGATCTCTCTGATGGAAGTGTGATATTGCGTTGTAGGAAATTAACTGAGGATCAGGCCAGTGGCCCACCCAGTCCAACACTCTGTGGCACACAGTGGCCAAACCCCAGGTGCCATCAGGAGGTCCAGCAGTGGGGCCAGGACACTAGAACCCCTCCCACTGTTGACCCCCCCCCAAGCACCAAGACGACAGAGCATCCCTTGCCCCAGAGCCCCTGTCTATACCTTGTGGCTAATAGCCACTGATGGACCTCTGCTCCATATGTTTATTCAATCCCCTCTTGAAGCCGTCCATGCCTGTAGCCACCACTACCTCCTGTGGCAGTGAATTCCACATCTTAATGACTCTTTGGGTGAAGAAGTACTTCCCTTTATCTCTTCTAAGCAGGTTGTTCTTATACTGAACAATCAAATGGTCTCTCAGAGTCCAGAAGAAGAACTGCTGTTAACAATTATAGTTTTATTCAAGGTATGAGCTTTTGTGTGGATGCATACTTTTTTCAAATACATTGGAATGGTAGGTAAGTTTCAAACTTATAGACAGGGACTGAACAGCAAATTAACATGTAATGTGATGAAGATGTGCAAAGACAAAGTAAGTAACAAGCTATGATTATAAGGTCAACAGTTGTAAAGCAATAAGTATGTCAAAATAGCAGATAAATGTGTAAAGGTATCTTTTCTAATTGTGGGAAGTAAACTGATACTCTCCATTCTCTCCTCTCAGGCAGGGAGGTCACTTAGCATTTTTTTGTTTTTTGAGGTGGATGCAGCAAAACATCCAAATATTCGGGTGGGGTAGCCCTGTTAGTCACTGCACTCAAACTTTATTCTCTTGCATTTTATATGTATTTCATTTTTTGGCGTTTAATTGCATTATAATAAAACGGAATAATTTTTGTTATTAATTAAAAAATAAATTTGCAAAGGGGGGGTGAGGAAAAAGTAGGGTTACCGGCTCTGGGTTGGGAAATCCCTGGAGATTTGGGGGGGGCGGAGCCTTAGTAGGGTGGGCTTTGGGGATGGGAGGGGCTTCAGGGGAATAGAATACCATAGCGTTCACCTTCCAACGTTGCTGTTTTCTTCCGGTGAACTCCTCTCTGTTTCCTGGAGGACAGTTGTAATAGCGGGAGATCTCCAGCCCCCACCTGGAGTTTGGCAACCCTAGGGAAGAGCCTCCTGTGTTGTTCTCCCCCCCCCTTCCCCCATAATTCCCTTCTTCTCTTGGAAGCAGAGCTCCAGTGGTTGAACTACTTTGGCGAGGAGGGGAGAAGGAAGGAAACAAGGCGCCTGTCACGTGTTCCTTGGCAGCGCGACCAATTCCGCCTCTTTGCAGAATCCTGCGGGTTTTGCGTGCGCCCAGCTCCTCTGGAGCCAGTGTTCCCTCTAAGCTGAGTTAGTGTGAGCGAGCTCACAGTTTCTTAGCCTCCGGCTCACAGATTTTTGTCTTAGCTCAGGAACGATGGCTCCAGAGCAAAGTTAAACAAGTATAAAGCCAACAGTCGTGATAGTCTGACCCACAATCAAACAGTCATAAGACTTATAAAGAATGCTGTTTATGTATTGCAATCTAAAGCACTACAACATGATACATGACTCAATAGAAAATCCTTGAGCCAAGGTACATAATCAACGCCGTCTCCGGATTACATAACAACATTTCAAAAAATGGATCTTCTTCAGGAGCTATTATAGTGGCGCCAAAGCTCTCAGTTTCATAAATGTTAGACAACAAGTCTTAAGAATATTAAATTCAGATAGGCTCCAGTAGAAACATAGCAGCATATTTTGAGCCTGAATGTTAATTGAGATCAGCGTCCTATCTGAATTTAATCCAGAGACGATGTTGATTATGTACCTTGGTTCAAGGATTCTATTGAGTTGTGTATCATGTTGTAGTGCTTTCGACTGCAATACATAAACAGCATTCTTTATAAGTCTTATGACTGTTTGATTGTGGGTTAGACTATCACGACTGTTGGCTTTATACTTGTTTAACTGATTGGGTCCTGCGTGTCCAGATTTTTCCGGAGCAACCGAATCCATGCAGCAGCCAAATCGCTGACTCACAACTTTAATGCCAGGAGCTCTCCAAGTAGAATTTTTGCCCACAGGACTCCACAGCTTAGAGGGAGCCTTGCTCGAGACCCAAAGCCGCCTCCCGTCCGCAACCCGCAGCCACCGATCTTGCGTCCACTCGCCCGCCAAGGTGCAACGAGGATGGCGTGCGGGCCCCTCTGACTTCCTGGGAAACCTCCGCCTAAGCAGGAAACAGAGAGAGAGAGAGAGAGAGAGAGTCTGCCTTCCTAGAAGGGCGGGGAGGGTATTTACTTACCACGAGTCACATCCGCGGCACGCGCTTCTTTCCCCCGAAGATCTGGTGAGTTGAAAGCGTATTTGGGTATAGGGAGGGGTGTGTGACGGCGGAAGAGAAGGATCCGGGCGGTCAGTGGTCAGAAAGGCAGGGGGGCAGCGACCCAAAAAGGGGGCTGGCGAGAGGGAGAAATCCCTGCAGCCTTTTTTAAATAATGCGGGTGGAGGGGCGATGCGTTCGGTCCACGTTCAACTTTCCCAGAGGTTTGCAAAGAGGGCCGCCCGACCAATGCCCCCTCTAAGCTGTGAGATCTTGTGAGCAAACAAAACGTCTACGTTGTGAGCTCCTGGCATGAAAGGTGTGAGCCAGCGATCTGGCTGCTGCATGAATGCGTTTGCTCCGGAGCCCTCCCTTCCGGAGCGAAGACAAAAATGTGCGAGCTGGAGGCTAAGGAACCGTGACCTGGGCTCGCACCGACTCAGTTTAGAGGGGACACTGCGCCCGACATGGCAGCAATCCAGCCCGGATGTCGTTTCTCGTGGCTGGATCCTCCTGCCTTTCCAGGAAGAGGCCCAGCAGCGCTGTCAAAGCCGGGTGGCTCTTGGGCAGCCGGAGCGAAAAGCCCCGCTCGCCTAGATGCCCCCCTACCCATCCAGAGGCAAAACGGGACTTCCGTCTGGTCTGGATCCAGTTTCTTAGCCAGCCCTTCGGGGAGATTTGGTCTGAGTCGCGTGTAAAGTAAGGCAAGTCGGGGCCCAGGAACCGAACTTTGCATTCACACGGTTTGGACGGGGAGGGGAAGGGCTATCGTGTCTGAACAGGAGAAAAGCTTTTTCAGATCGCATGTGGGGTGATCGGGGATGCCCTTTGAAGAAGGGGATTGGAAATGAAAGGCCTTTCTTTGGCCTTCTCACGTGTGGCCAAATTGGGAACACGAAGCTCCTTTATACCGAATCAGACCATTGGTCCACCAAAAAAGGGATTGGTCGCCATCTGGATTGGTGGTTTTATTCGTCCATTTTAATAATTTGATCATGTTGATTGAATTTCATCTGTTGTCATGCTGTGAATCGCCCAGAGCTCACTTGCAGGGTTGGGCAACTCAGAAAACTAGTGATAAATAGATCAAATTGCCTACTCGGACTGGCAGCGGCTCTCAAGGTCTCAGGCAAAGGTTTTTCACATCAGCTACTCCCTGGTCCTTTCAGGGATCAAACCTGGGACCTTCGGCATGCAGAGCAGATGCCCTAACACTGAGCCACAGCCCCTCTTCTAGTGCTGTTCTGGGATCTCAAAAAAAGACATGGAAGGTTTGGGAAAGGAGTTTAAAAAAAAATACAACCAAATAAGCATTGAACGATCTTCCTTGTGAGGAACAACTTTTATTTTTATATTTTATTAATCTGTTTATGCTCCACCTCAGGGCATTCGTCTTGCCTTCGCTGAAACAGTGGAGGCATTTGGGGCTTATTAATTCAGGGAAATGGCAACTAAGGACATGAGAGAGGCATATAAAATGGCGCCTGCCGTGGCCCAGAGTCGAAAGAGACATCAGAAGTTATTTAATGAAGAAGATTAAAAACCAGACATTGGGAAGTACTTCTGCATATCTCCTGTATGTAGGGAATTCACTGGGGCAGGGGGGGATTTCAGTTGCTACGAGCCTGGATGGATAAATGGATCCTCCATGTTCAGAGGTAGTGCATCTGTGTAGACCACTTGAGGGGGGGATAACAGCAGGTCATGAATGTCCCCTTCTTGCCTTGCTTCTGGGAGGCTTCTGGATTAAAAAGAGGTGGGGTGGAGGGACCTTTGGTCTCATCCAACAAGCACCTGTTGGCGGGGAATGTCCAATATATCGCATCCCCCGCCAGTCAGAACTCTGCTCCTTCCCTGGGGCCTAAGTCCCGCCTTCCTTTGCCTTGGACCCTTGTGACTCCAAGAGGTCTGTGTGTCATGTGACCCCCTTTAGGAACTCAGCATGACCTTGCCGAGTAAGAGGGAGATGTTGTGAATCTTTGATGTGCATTGATGAAATGTTGGGGGGAACCAGTGGAGGCTGGAAGTGGGATCGAGTTGCAGCCAATTTATGGAGACCCCCGTAGGTTTCCATTTATTTATTTATGTAATTAGATTTATTAGGCTGCCCTTCCCTACAGACAGGGGTGGCTTACCTACACACAGGGGTGGCTTACAACAGCGCGAATACAATAGGCGACAGACTAACAACGGTTTGCCATTGTCAGGCTCTGCGTAGGAATTCTGGACTTCCTTGGTGGTCTGGTAAGACAGAACCCCTGTCCCTGATTGTGTTTGCCCAGGCCAATTTGAGAAAACACACAACACAATCCTGTAGAGTAGAACCAGATCTAGAACTTTATTAATAAAGGAGGGAAGCACGGATTCAACAAGATTTTGGACCCCACAGCTCTCCCTAAG